ACAGAATTGGGACGTACCGTAGAAGCGGGTTCATATGTGCCAGATAACTTGTGTGCCCCCCATCTTCTGTTCAGGGTAGGTCTGTGAGCTCTTATGTAGACCGCCCCCTTTACTCCTCATTCACAAGTTATCTGGCACGTATGACTCACTACTGCGGTCACGTGTCTCTGACGTCACGTTCCAAGAGTTCCAAGGTTGATGGAGTCCGAATTCTGTAATCTAAGTGTTGGAAGTTAAAGCTTAGTCTTTATTTCATAATGATTTGTACCAACACAGATGAACTTTCATGCTAAGTCAAAGGAAAACATATTGTTTTTCCTCAGTTTCTTCTTCTTCTCCTAACAAATGAGGTCAATGACCTGAACCAGACATCTGTCACCATGGTAACTAGTGTTGTGTTAAATCATGTTGCAATTTTATAGCAGGAGGGATTTAGACTCCTGTCTGACCATATCTTATGAATGTGTTTGAGTAAGAATTAACAGAGCAGACCATATGTGAAGGTTAACATTATGTATTTGCTTTGAACCTTTCTTCCTTACCCTGCACGTATATTTTTTTCTGTTGTTTGTGTTTTGTGAAGTTTGCTTTTATTGTTCTTTTGCATGTGCGAATAAATACTTCTAGACAGCTACCTTTATCATGTAGACTTTAGTTATTTTATACTCTATTTCATTGTTCTTTTATGTTTTGTAATTTGCAATTAGTCTCCAGGCACGAATTTGCAATAAACTTTTCAATAAAATAAATAAAGTACCTGAACCCAGGCTGGTGCGTTGGCAGCGGCGGCATCACCAGCGGTGGGCCGTAGTCCAGCGGGGCACGGCCTTTGTCTGCGTTCGGTGACAAACGGAGGTTTGCCTGCGAGGGAGTGGGGTGGTAGGGGGATGATTCTGGGTTACAAAACACATCTGTCAACTCCACCAACAATCTGATAGATTTCTATGAGCAGAGTGAAATCATTCTACAGCTGATTTTGCTTATTTGTTGCTGAGTATTGTGAAATATGTCATTTTCAACACATAGAGTAACGGTGTCGAGAATGATGAAATACCTGCGCTTGTTATGTCCCTTAGAAGCCACAAATATGAGACTTTGCACTCTCTATCCTGTACTTTTTGTAACCATGCATATTGTTTTATGTCTCATGATGACTACATGTTGTGTCAGATATTAGATATTTCATGTACAGGCCTTGCTGATTGAAATAAAGAGTCAAAAAGAAAGGAACAAAATAGTTTACTTGTGAATGTGAGGGAAGGCCTGCTGGGTGAGGCAGAGTTGGACTTGGTGTGGAGGCGGAGGTTTGCACGCCTCTCTCCCGTTCCTGCTGAACGTACTGCCCGCTGTCATGCAGGACGAAGGCGCTGGGCTCACGGCTGGTCGGGGTGTGGCGCTGGCGGTCCAGGGCAGGCGGAGGGGGGGAGGGCAGGAGATGTCCTGCTGGTCCTGATGCTGAGGAGAGAGGAGGAAGGGGCTTCTCTGGTTCATCTCCTGGAAACAAAAATATTCAAAATCTCATCACTTGTATTTACTCCTGATGGAAAGCCGAGTGACCACTAACCCTTCACCCCTAACACCTCACCTATGACCTCTAATCTCTGACCTCTAACCCTTACTAACATGAGACACCCTTACTGATGGGTGTTGAGGAAATGCCATCTGCAGAACAAAATAACCCTTTGACACCTAACCTTTGACTGTTAGCCAATGAATCCTGACCCTTACCGACGTGAGTCTTGAGGTAGTGCGACACGGCCTCCACCAGCGGGCCCATCTGCAGCAGGCTGGCTGCAGACAGCAGGTCGATGGCCGTCTGTACGGTCAGGCTGAGCTCCGAGGTGTACACGAAGTCCAGCAGCTGCAGGAAGGCGGTTGCCTTGACGACGGGCAGGTCGATGGGCTGCGCCTGCTTGATGGCCGCCTGCTGCTGCGTGAAGAGCGTCTGGAAGAAGGTGCTGCTGGCGGCCAGGATCACCTGGTGGCACCGGAACAGCTTACCTTCCACCTAAAGCAACAGGCAAACAGTAAGTCTGAATCAAAAGCACATTACTTAAGGTTTAAATTAAACATATTGTAGTCTATAAATGGTGGAATCTGTATGTTGTGGTGGAATCTGTAAGTTGGAAGTGCAAAAAACAAGCCTGATAAAAAAAGCCTAAAAACACGCCAAAAAAAAAAGCCAAAACCCAAACCTCTGCTTGGAGAAAACTGGTAATATTGAAGACGCATACGCATGGAATTTGAATCATAATTTAACTGATACCTCTTAAATCTGAGGAAGTTTATGTGTTATATTGATGCAACCCAGTTCTGTTCACAAGTTGCATCCACAGTCAGCTTTAAGGTCTAATAACCTACCTCGAGTGTGACGTCACAGAAGAGGCCGAGGTTTCGAAGGAAGTTGAGTCTGTCCAGCAGAGTGCGCTGGTACACCAGGGACTTGTAGGAGTGTGGGGAGGGGGGCAAGGTCGCCATCTTCTACCCTCACTCTACCTGTAACAACACATTTAACAGTGTAAGCTGTAGGAGTGTGGGGAGGGGGGCAAGGTCGCCATCTTCTACCCACCTGTACCCATGGGGAAGGGATGACAGCAAGTGTAAATTTCAATGTAAAAACAATACAATGTTTGTCTATAGTACTGAAAGTCTTTCACGAAGACAGATGATGCAACACCCCATCAAGGCACATTCGCACATTCTGTACCCTCCCTGCCTATTCTTAACCCCTTTCCAGGCAACTTAGTTATTGAACGTACTATCCAGCTGCTACAGACAGAGCTCTAGTGCACCTCCCCTATCAGATGAATAGTAAACCTTCCCTCCAGTGGCTGTGGCTACACCTCCCCTATGGGTTGATTAGTGAACCTTCCCTGAAGCTCATGTGGAGTTCCCTAATGGGTGATTAGTAAATATACCCTCCAGCTTTAGTGCATATCCCCTGTCAGACTAGCAGTGAATCTACCCGCACGCTCCATGGGAGTCCCCTATTGGGTGATTAGTGGATCTCCCCTCCAGCTGCTGTAGACACATGCCCCTTGTGGGACTATCATAGAATCTCCCCTCAAGCTCCCCAGGAGTCCCCTGTTACATGTAGGTGAATCATGAATGGCTCTCCCTTCCAGCTCCACTGCATCACCCCTGTCAGATGATTAGTGGCTCTCCCCTAAAGCTCCACAGGAGTCCCCTATTGTGTGATTAGTGGGTCTCCCCTCCAGCTGCTGTAGACACAGCTGTTATTTGCAGACACCATTCATCCCCCCTTGTCAGCCCACAGAGGAGGCACCTGGGCCTGACACCACTCACAAACACTACACACACTACCTGGGGCCCAGGGTAAGGTGTAGCCTCCATAGCATGCCAAAAACTGGGGGTTTTGGGGGTCTTCAGGGTCTTTGGGAGCTTTTATGTGCTATTTTCTGATTGCATATAGACATAGGCATATAGGCCTGGTTGAATTATCCCTGTTTTTTTAACTGGGCTAATCAGAAAACAGCCGAAGACCACCAAACACCCAGTTCTATAAGCCTGCTACAGAGGCTAGGAATTTAAAAGGTGGTCGAAATATGTACTTGTACTCTCAGTCTTCCAGAAAAAAAAATCAATGAATGAAAACTAAAGAAAAAAGTACCTGCGGCCCAGGGTAAGGTGATGGGAATATATACACGTAGTACTCTCAGTCTCAGTCTTCCAGAAAAAAAAAATTGTCAAACAAGAGAAAAAAGTGTCTGCCATTCTTCTTCTACACATGTAACGTTATATATAGTAGGCATTCATCGGTCTTACAAGGCCATGAAGTATGTATGTACTTCTTCTTCTATAATATGTCAAATATTCTGTCAAGATAATCTTTTTTGTTCCTTCAACCAAATATGCAACTCAACTAAAAAAATTATTGAAGAATTATTTGTTGATTATAAAAATCTATTCTTCCTTATTTCAAAAATAAAAAAATCTAAATATTTTCATTTAAATGCCTCCCTATGATCTTTCTATGAAGTTTCATTGACAAAAATTTCATGATTTGATAATCATAAATCACTTAATCAAATGTAAAAATTCTGCAGAAAATATTGAAAGCAAGTATTTCCAAAAAAAAAAAGAAGCTATTACCATTATGTCAGGAAACCCACAAAAGATTACCTGAAAAATACATCGTATTACATGGTTGAGTTTCCCTGTGAGAGAAAAATCAGCTTACCTTCCTGGCATGAATGAGGGACGGCAAGGGGGGGGGGTAGTGATTACGAATTACGCAAAATTTTCGCCGCCTATTACGATTTACGTTAAAGTCTCAGAGCTGATTACGACTTTACGATTTGCGGCTAATGTCCAATTACGAATTACGTTGATTTTGGCGGAGGCTGCCTACGAATTACGAAGTCTAAAACGGCCTGATTACGCCTTACGAAAAAGGGCTTGCAGGCCCTCATGAATCCTGGCAACCTGACATGCCTAAAACATCTGCCACATCCTGACATCTGTTGCTATCCAAATATGTAACGCTTCGGGCAACATAAAGTTAATTGGCTGTGTCACAGATATTGCTACTTGTCAGAATTCATGAGATCTAGACTGACAGAAAGATTGACAAATAGTTAACTTTTAAGCTTCTATGAGATACATTTCAATTTTAGCTCACAGGGTCCCTGTTTTGTCAAAAAAATTTAAAACTTGCTTCTGTGGCTTTAATAAGATTTTCCAATGCCATTGATGTTTTTACAATCAAGGAATACATGTAATTGATTACGGTAAACTTTATATTAAACTATTAAACAAAATCATTTTTAAAAATCTATACTGAAGCAGGTGAAACTCTGGTATTTCATTGAATGACAGACTTTCTTTTAGAATTTTTTGTCTCCCCACACCCACTGGCTGCCAATGATCAATTGATTGACTTGTTGCCCCCCCTGGCAGTCCTGATGGTTCGGCCCAGGTTGGTCTATGAAACAGAATGATTTAAAAATCTACACTGAAGATAAGTAATACTGAAAAAGTGAAAGTCTGGTATTTCATTTCAGAATGACAGACTTTTTTTCACAATTTTTTTGTCTCCCCACTTGTTGCCCCCTGCTGGTTCTAATGGTTTGGCCCAGGTAGGTCCTTGCGGCACACCTGCAACTGAAAGCCAACAGCCAGGCCTTTCATGTGGAACAAAGGGCCGAAACACACCTGGAGCGCTCCACAAAGGGACCAACTCAGACTCCCAACATCAACACAAACGTGATCAAAGTGGTTTTCAAAAATCCACTTGGTCATTTTCACTTGTAGGAAACAACTTTTCACTTGCCCAAAATATATAACATCCGTGTCCATAATATCACCAGGGTCCATAATATCGCCACCTTGAGAAACAGTGTTATATTTTACTGCAACATACTTTTAGTATGCACTCCTGCACACCTCAAATGTACATACCTATGTTGCAGTAAAAAATATCTTTAAGCACACTTTTTCTCAAGGTGGCAATATTATGGACTATGGTGATATTATGGATACAGATGTTTTTTATATGCATATTTACTACCAGCAAGGAAATTAATTTATTTCAGACTTCATAATACTGCATGCTTTATTTATCAAAATAAGGTGGTTTGAGATTTCTGACAAAAGGGCATTTTGGAAAAATGACTGCAATTTGCTATGCTCCAAACACTGTAGTGGCTATACTTCGCATCCAAAAAATTCACTTGCCAGGCCCTTGCCTGAAAGTACTTTTACTTGCCCTGGGCAAGTGGGCAATTGGACTTGTCCAACCCTGCATCCTAATGACTGCGATATCAGGTAGTACTGTTTACCCGAAATACACAAGTTTTGAAACCAGCAACAGCTTGGGCACACAAAACGTTTGTTGGGAAATTGTCTGAGATTCCGTCCTGTGGTTTTTGGGCAAACAAACCAATGTCGTTTGCAGATACGTTTCAGGTTTGTGAATGGCTCCTTGTGGGCACACCTGCGCGAGATTTAATTTCAGTAGGAATGCTCATTACGCACATGAAAGGGTCCCCAAATAACATTTCTGGCTCTCTGTCCCAGCAACTAGGGGACAAATCACTAATGTCATGAGAGGGTCCCCAAATAACATTTCTGGCTTTCTGTCCCAGCAACTAGGGGACAAATCACTAATGTCATGAGAATGAAGAAAAGGATTGACAAATCAAAAAGTACAGCAACTTTTGGAACCCAAAACAACAAGAGTACAAAACCTTAAAATTCTACTTACTAAATAACATCTTAAGTAATTTAATCTGTAACATCTGTACTTAAAAGTTGAACAATAATTTTTTTTACTAACTTAATACTACATCTGCATTAGTACGTACAGTAACGTTTGGAAATAAAAACAACAAACATTAGATAAATCTTAAAATTTTACTTACTCCTAAACAATAACATCTGAAATAATTCAACCCGTAATATCTATACCTATGAGTTCGACAATAATGTTCTATTTTTCTTTTAGGCCTCACCAATTTAATTTGTTGTTTCTCGGATTCAACCTGTTTTTTGTTGTTATTTTTCCCTGTCACATAATATTTTTCTGAAAAAATCCAAGAAACACCAAATTAAATTGGTGTGGCCCTACTGACTTTTATACTACCTTTGCTTTCGTAATATTGGCAATGCTATCACACAATCCCAGATGTACAGTGGGATTTACCCCTGTGGGCATTAGTGCTTCCCCCAGGTACTTAATGATCCCCCCTGAAGCCTGCCCAACATTGTAGGCATGCGTGATTCCCCCAGGTGCTTACTGATCCCCCCCTAAGGCCTGCCCAACATTGTAGGCATTAGTGATTCCCCCCTGAAGCCTGCCCAACATGTCTGTTGCACCATGGAGGTACCTCCATGGTTGCACCAGCTGGTTACAATCAGCCCCACTCCTGACCTGGATTCCAGGCACAAATCACATCAACCAGGAGACACTCACAGCCATACCAAACAACCTTCCTGAAATTTTTCCATCATAACTCTGTTAAATTCTACACAAGAGGAAATGGAAAAAATTGAAGTTTAAAATCCTTTAGTTTAGCATGGGACAGATCTGTTTGTGGTTCACAATCAAAGTTGACTGAATTTCAAGAGCACACAGAAGACAGGCCATATCGAAGAAGCTTCCCAAATTGCTATCATAACTCTGTAAATTTCTTCCCAACAGAAATGAACTTAAAATCCTTTAGGGTGGGACCAAGAAACTTTATATTACATGTATATAGAATGTCCTTGGTGGGACAGATTTGTTTATGATTTAAAATCAAAGTTGACTGAATTCAAGAGCACACAAAATTGAAAATGAAACAGGAGACGGTCATACCAAACAAGCTTCCCAACATTTCCTTCATAACTCTGTAAAATTTCTTCACAACTAGGAAAGATTTTAATTCAGTGTATTTTTTTCGGTCAACCAATTGTAAAGAAGTTTTGAATGCATACATGAAGGGAATGGAATATTAGTAGCTTTAAAAATATTTCAAGCCTCCAAAGTTGGTAAACGAAACGTTTATCAAAGAGTTTTCATTTCCGGAAATTCAATATGTACAATTCAAGTAATGTTATTATACAACGATGATTAAAATGTTTGGAACATAATTTTGCCTTAGGCAGTGTTTGGTGTGACTGCTTCTGGTTCACTTGATTTAATGTGTTCTTGGCATTGTGACAACTGTGATTCGAAAGCATAAACAAATCTGCAAAACTATAACATACTGAAATTTCTTAAGTATTTTAAGTGTTGCATACAAATTACTTGGTATATACAGCTATGAATGAGTATACCAATTTGTTTTGAAACTTGCCATTGGCTATGTTTTGGTATTGAATTCTCCTGTTTCATTTTGATTTTGTGTGCACTTGAAATTCAGTCAACTGTGATTTCGAACCAGAAACAAATCTGTCCCACCCTAAAGTATTTTAAGTTCATGTTTTAACCCTAAAGGATTTTAAGCTCATTTCTGTTCTCTCCACCACCCCATTTCTCAAATGAACGGTCCCTCGAGTAAAAAGTCATACGAAGAAAATCAGTATTTCGACATCATTATACATGAAAGAAACGCGAAAACAAAGTTGACAATAAACAACAACGAAGGGAGATCGGTGAGAAAATATCCTTGTGAAAGAATTTGAAGGAAAAATGCGCGCATTCTTCATAGCGCTTCGTTCAAAAGTTGACGTTTTTCAAATTCGAGGTTGACTCTCAGAAAACTGACAATTTCGAATCTTTCGCGGGAAAAAGCAATTCCACATTTCAGAAAAAAAAATGTCACCAAAACGTATCCCGCACATGGTTTTAAGAAGAGAAAGACGAGAAAGGTACAGAAAAATTGGGAATTCGGCTTGCCGCATACCACCCCTAGATGGGCCCCTAGCTCGTATATAAACATCTGAATGAAATCCGCGCATTTTTGTCGTCTGCTACTGAGTGCTAGACCACCAAAACGACCGGCGGATCCCGCAAAAACTACCCAAATCGTCTCACCTTGCTCCGGTATCCAACTTGTGGCGTTTTTCCGGCGAATTCTGGGGAAAAAGTGACGATTTTTCGGAGCCGGAAAATTCCTGGCAGGCTCCAAGATGGATGCAGGCGGACAGCTGTGCAGCTGCAGCTGTGCCGCATGCAAATTAGCAGGGCAAAGGTCAACCGGGGGGTTTAAATCCTTCTCGTTCCCAGGGTCCGGTGTTTAGCGACACAGGAGCTATTTTGTAGGCTCAAAACTTGCGAAAGTGTACAAAATATTAATGTTTTTACAATAAGATGACAAAGTGTTCTATTCTAGCTACTCTAGTCGGATATTTACAAATTTAGCACAGAGTGTACTCTGGGTACGAGGTTGCAGCATGGCGCCGGAAACAAACGTGAGTAAAATTTTGGATGTCCGGAAATTCTGGTTTATTTTGGCCGATTTTTACGTCCATTGTCACACGTAATTAGTGAAATGGTATTGTTGGTTTACAGATAAAGTAATGTAGGGTTTCTTTTGTGTTCTATTGTGTTCCGTCTTTACGGTAAAGTCGAAATGTTGGCGCGTTACTGTGCACTGTGTGCCAAAAAGTGACAAGCTAGGCACGCACGTGTTTCATGAGTCATGTTTTTACTGAGAATATGTTTGTACCATGTTTGTACAAGGAGGTTTGGTTGAATCCTAGTGGTAGTCCCCCTATAACCTCCTTGGTTGTATAGTAGCGGTGAAAACTGAAAAGACGTCATAGTACGTAACCACATATTCTTGACAATAAATTTATATAAATTATATAAATTATAGTAACACCGGTGTTAAATATTTATTTGAACTCTACTTTAGTTTAACCATGACGCGCAACCATGGCTGTTCAAAGTATACTTCAATATATTTGATTCAAACAAAGAGACCCATGTTCTGTTCTGTTCTTCCTTTAATGCCCATCTGCCAACAAATCGGCATGGCTAATACGAAACATGTCCCAGTGTGCGATGGTCCAAATTCTACTGTCTGGGAGTTACTGATTCACTTCAAATCGACCTGCCAGGTAGCCTGGTTACCAAACCTATTATAGCTCCCGAGTCCTACATCCTCTCCAAATAGAGGATGTAGGACTCGGGAGCTATAACAGGTTCGGTAACCAGGCTACCTGGCTGGGGCCATGTCTAAGCTTTACCCAAGCCAAGACTTCATCTTTGTTTATGAAATGTGTTCCTCCACATGACCTAGGTCATCACCATGGTAACCTGTGAAGTGTGTTCTGAGCAGCCTCCCAAGTACAGGTGTCCCAGGTGTGAGGTCAGGTACTGCTCTCTCACCTGCTTCAACCTGCACAAGGAAAACACATGTGGAGAGAGGGAGAAACTTGTACAGGAGAGAAATAGAATACAGCAGGTGAGAACATTGACGTTACATCATAGGACAGGTGTGCTGTTATCTCACCTGCTGAAAACACCTGTGGGCAGAGGGAGAAACTTGTACAGGAGAGAAGGAGGACAGAACAGGTGAGAACATTAATGTTACATCATAGGATAAGTGTGAGGACAGGTGTACTGCTCTCTCACTGTCTCACCTGCTTCAAGCTGCACAAGGAAAACACCTGTGGGCAGAGGGAGAAACTGGTACAGGGGAGAAGGAGGACAGAACAGGTGAGACATTGTTACGTCTTAGGACAGGTGTATTGCTCTCTCACCTGCTGGGATCACCTGTGGGCAGAGTGTAACAGTAGGGGGTTTATAGGCGCTACGTACGCTACCAACTGACCCGGCTGACGGGTCTAGGCGCTACCTTTTAGCGGAGAGGTTAGAGTGTCTGACTGGGTCCTGGGAGGTCGTGGGTTCGAACCCCGCCCGGGACCAGTGGGTTTTTACTGTCTTCTCCTGTTTCTTACAGTGGTTCCCACACCGGCCCTGGGAGTTCTGGCAAAGAGTGCTGCTCCAGGGATGTCGAATTCGGAAGATTTGAGGACGAATCTTGAAAAGAAAAGGGGGAGTAGTGTAACAGTAGGGGGTTTATAGGCGCTACCAACTGACCCGGCTGACGGGTCTAGGCGCTACCTTTTAGCGGAGAGGTAAGAGTGTCTGACTGGGGCCCGGGAGGTTGTGGGTTCGAACCCCGCCCGGGACCAGTGGGTTTTTACTGTCTTCTCCTGTTTCTTACAAGAGGGAGAAACTGGTACAGGAGAGACAGAGAACACAACAGGTGAGCACATTAATGTTACATCATAGGATAGGTGTGTTGTTATCTCACCTGCTGAAAACACCTGTCGGGAGAAGGAGAAACTTGTACAGGAGAGAAGACACAACAGGTGAGAATATTGTTTAAACTTTAGATCCAACACAAAAAGTTCTCTCCTCTAGGGCTTTCAACCAGTCACTCTAGTCTTCCTGTTAAACTGACCCAGTAAGACTTGTCATGTGGCTTCTTCACTCTTCACTTAATTGCGGGGAGCCAAAGTCGTCTACCAGATACCTTTGACTCAGTGTTGACGTCACACTTCAAAGAAGCCATGTGACAAGCCTCACTGGGTCAGTCTACTGAGGAAGACCAGAGTGACTGGTCGAGAGCTCTAGGTGAGAGAACACAGACAGAGACACACGCACACACACACAGAGCTCTAGGTGAGAGAACACAGACAGAGACACACGCACACACACACAGAAACAAAAACGATAGTTCACCCCAACTAGTAGTTAAACACACATGCAACAAACATTAAAACAATCCTGTATTTTTTTGTACATCCTCAGTCTGAGGCAGCTGCTGCAGAAGATGCTGGTGCTGTTGCCATGGAGATGTGGGATGATGGGATGGATGAGGGGGATGAGGAGGACAGGGTACCACTGGACAGACTACAGAAACTACAGGACTCAGGTCAGCACTGATGTTCTGTTTTATTCTATTTTATTATTTTCAACCTCTGTTTTCCCTTGCATTTTTCTTTTTTTAGGTACCTCTCTCTGCGAATTTGCAAGGTTCCCTAACTTAATTTGGAAAATGTATATTATATTAGTATTGTGGTACATGTATTTTGTAACCCAAAACCATGTATACCAGATAACTATTTTCATTACTTTATGATGTGGTGTAATTGTTTAATATGTATATTTTTTTCAATGTTGTCAATTATAGATCATTTAGATTACTTAATTTTAAGTGTACAATGGGTCTACAGACCATTGAATTGTCAGAACAACATAATTCAGATTGAAAATATTGTCTCCGAGTTGTTTGAATAAAGATTGAATTGAACTAAATCTAATCTATTCCCATATTCACTTTACAGAGGAGCTGAGGAGCCTGCTGTGTAACCCCCACCTGCAGCGGATGATCAGAGAAGTGGACTCTTCCGATGACCCTGAGGTCAGCATGCAGAGGGCCATGCAGGAGCCCATATTTGTGGAGTTCGCGGACCAGTGTCTGAGGGTCGTGGAACCCCAGGTCAATGGCACAGAGCAGGGTTAGAGGTCACAGGGGCAAAGGTCGGAGGTAGCTAACTGATCCTTCAGGAAAGGATGCCAGACTTCGCTCCCTTACCCATACCACTTTGGGACCCTTCCAGTTCAAAGGACAAAATATAGTGGCACTGAGAATGTATGGCAACACTGGCTGTACATGAAGCAAAGCGGAAATGCCAGGTTTCAGTCGCTTATACATGCTGTCTTGCAGAACATTTAAACAGTAGCTCTAAGTATGTATGGTAACACTGCATTGTATTCATTTGAAATCACAGAAATACAGACAGGCAGACAAGCCAGAAACTAGTCAGCCCTGTAAGAGGCATGATGTTTATTTATTGGTTCATGTTTGTTTCTATACAAGACCTGTTCAGAGCAGGGTTACATGAGTGCACTTTTTCTTTTCAACCCATGAAGCACAGGCAGTGCCAGTGATATATGTTGCTTGGAACACTTCAGCAAGTTCAGGCTGTTTCAACTGGAACTAATGGAAGATAGAACCTGGTCCCCTGTTCTAAACAAATTCTAGTATCAACAAAGGTCTGTAGGTTTCTTTACACTGTAGTGATAACACTGTATGGTTCAAAAGACAGAACACAACAATATTGATTTTGTAGAGAATAATACTAGTACTCAATAACTACAGCCAAAAAGCCTAAACCAAGAATCTCTGGACATAACAAGGCTATGAGGGGAGTATAATCTTCATAATCATCATTCTCTACGGTAACCATTAATACTGAATGGTTAGATAGGTAATACTGTACAGTAATACACAACACATATACAGAGTTATACAGTAGAGTTATATAGAACTATATAGTTAACTTACATATACAGGTAATGTTAAGTGGCATATCCTATATACACGTACATATTACAACATCATTGCATCATAGTTGCATTACAGTCACAATCCACACTGGACTATAACAAGTTAGCTGCTAGGTTGTCCTTATTATGTTTTCATGAGTAGCCATCACTTTAAGTCACTGGTGAGTTCAGCAGCAGCAGAAATAAAAACAAAGTTACAAACAACATATCTCTGCAGATATATAACCACCACCATAAACTTTTAGAAATAGTTTTATAAAACAAAGAAAAAACATGTTGAACCAGAATGGTACATAGAGGCTGCATTTCTTTGAATTTTTTGGTCAAATTCCATAACGATCTTACTTTCACCTTTCTTGACCTGTTGTTTTCACTCCTTCATCCTGGTCCATGTTTGACATAAATGTTTTCAAATCATTTCTGGCACCTCAGTGTGTATATTTACATACAATATATAAGCCTTATTGTGTAAGGCAAATACATTAATTTTGTCTTCCTGGCATCAATACATAATACATGTATTCAGTAGAGGTAAGTTGGGTGGAAGAATCCAGCTCTTTATACAAATAATTTGACACTATTTTTTATACATTCAAGTGTATATATACATAATTAGTGATTTTAATTGTACATTTCTCGTGTAAATAAATCGCTTGGTGTACTTGAACAAAATACACATTCAGCTACAAAATACCTCTAGTTTTGTTTTAACCTCTTAATGTTATACCAAAATACACATGAAAAGTCTGCTTCTGGATAGTGAGATTTTAGTGTCACAAGATGTCATCTAGAACTTATTATATAATACGTAAAATTTGAACTAGGTAACTGTTACCTACCTATAAAGCTCTTGACACTTTGTTTTGGGGTTGTTCTTTTTTAACTCGGTTTTAAGAGTCCAAGGAACTAGAGCATTTATTTGATGACTCCTAAACTGCTCACTGTCTTTCTGCTTTACCTGGAACCCTGATAGTTTGTTGGTCAGTTTATACTTTTATGCTTAGTCAATTTTCGAAGCCTGAGATTGCATGAGATATGTGTGTTTGGCACACTTTAACAATTAGGTCTGTCTTCTTAACACTTCTTCATACCTGACTCAATTGGAGGTGATATTTCTTTATTTTGGACTCGTTATCTATTTTTTGCAACAAAAGATTGGCTACTCTTTTAAATAGTCTCTTCAAGGTGAACATCCTTGCATTTATGTCTTTCTTGTGAGAAATTAAGTAATTAACGATAATACTGTTGATTTTGTCTTGTATATAATTGTTAATGTGCACCAACACACTTTGTGTAGACATGGCATTGTTTTCCTCTGAAAAACACAATAATACTTTGAATGAAGATATTGAATTAAGACTCCTCTGCGCCTCCCTGCCACAAAATGTTGCATTAGACACGTTTTTCTGGTGACAAATTTTGCTCTTTTCCGTGGCTGATACTGTTCATAATGGCCTGATATAACACACTTTCACCATTGTTTTTTTTTTTTGTTTTGTTTTGCTTGAACAACATTTGCAACACCGTTTACGTTTCATTGTTGCATCCTGTGTATATATAAACTTAACTGTAACCAGCTTTACGTTTGAGGCCACTGTTATTAACGTTAATTGAGGATTATAAGGATTTCTCCTTGTTGAACAACATCAACATTTAGTCAGTTTTTGTGCCATGAAAGTTATCTTTTTATTTCTTGAAAAGCACAATAAGTTACTAAAACCATGGACCCGGCGTCATATCTTTCAGTTCGAGTGCGCCCTTGCGCAATAATTCGAATTCGAACAGTGCACGTCACCTGATGACGACACTGTTAACAGCCTGTGTTTTAAACCAAAGGCGTTATCATCTTAATCTATTGTAAGTGAATCCAAAGAGGACATAAACTTTTTGTCA